TTTAATTATTTGGATTCTTAATCAACATAATTCAGCAGATTTTATTGAATTTTGAAATATTTTTTCTTTAGTGGTTAATTTAAAAAAGCAGATAATAATAATTTTTTTTTGAGTAAATCTAAATCAAAGTTCAAATAAGTTTAAATTATAATTTTAAATTTTGAAATCTGCTCTTTTCATAATAAAGTTAGATTTTTAAATATAGATTTGTACTTAAATATAATAGCATTCTGTATAAAATATTAAATTTATAAAAAGATCATAGAAGCACTTTCTCATTTAGAATTTAAATTAAAGCCATTTATATAAACCTAGGAATGCTGTAAATAGAATTGAATGAGAATCTTTATAGAGTTAACACTGTTTTCTGAGTTGATTTTAGTGTTTTATCATGATTTTTCAAGGTTGTTAATCTAATATAATCTGGCTTTATATTTGTAAACAATACCTTTAAGATTCTGGAGAATTTGTTTAGACTTGATCTCTAATGAAGTCTTTTAAGAATAGATAATAATTTGCTAGCTAGATTTCTGCTTATTAATTACCACAACTAACCGATTCAGGATAGAAGAAGAGTTTAAAAAATAATTTATATTATATGAAAATAAATTTTCAATCCGACCAGATCATAGAGATATTTTGGTGAGAGCACACTCCCCTTCCTTCTATAAAAAAGTTAAATCTTTTACATATTCTTTTTAATAATCCTATTATTTTTTAAACCGACATAATATTCAAAAATTTATTTATTATACCCTCTTAAGGTATATAAATATGTAATATCATATTTATGTTAAGATAGTTCTTCTCAGTATAACCAACCTTCAATATTGCAGTTTACATTCTTTTCTTGAAATATCTTTTAAAATTTTAAAATACACTTAAGTATATTTATTACATTATTTTTATATGTAAATAAAATCAATTAATTGAGTAAATTTAACATAGGTTAAATTATTTTCAATAAATAATTTAAACAATCTTTAATCTAGATTGATATAATGTTAATCCATTCAGATTTTAAATCCTTTTAACCATTAAATTAGTGGAAATAAAACTTCTCTTGTTTAACTAAAAGAAAGATATTTAAATCAAAAAATTAAAAAGCATTTTTCATAATAATCCCATAGCCCTTTCTGCCCAAATACCCACATTTTAGGATTTCAATTTTCATAATCATCATTTTGAGTTTAGCAAAATACTAAAACCCTTCATCCAATTCTACCCTCAGTTTGAAAATTAAAAATATATATTTCAATAAGTTAAATATTTTTAATTCTTACAACCATCTTGATTATCTGAATCTTTGTTAATGTTTAAATTAGGAATTTTTAAGGAAACAAAAATTTAATTCAAAAACGTAAATTATTTATTATTCAGGATGGCAAGTTCCTAATATGAGTTGATCTCTGTAGGGAATTATTCTATAAGAAAAGGAGAAAAGATTGGAAAAGGACAATGGGGGTCCATTTTTAGTGGTGAGATAGTGCAAAGTAAAAAAAAAATTGCCATAAAATAATTATTGGAATTAACAAAATAAGAGGAGATCATTCTATAGAAACTTAAAGGAAAAAAATTCGATCATATTGTTGAAGTGCTTACTTATGAATAAAAATAAGATGGGAATATCTACATTTTAATGGAAATTGGGAAGGAGGTTAACATTAAAGAAGTTGAGAATAAGGAAGAAACTTTTTTACAAGTAATATTCCTTACATTACTTAGATGGTGAAGGGTGTTCAATAGTTTCATAAATTGGGATTTTTTCATAGAGATCTCAAACCTGAAAATTTTGTAATTTGTGAGGATGGTTGGATAAAATTGATTGATTTTGGGATAACAAAAGAAATTAAAGAAATAATTTAGACTAAGCAGATAGACACTTTTCATTATTTGGCCCCAGAAGTGCTGGCATTTGATAATTATGACTAATTTGTTGATCTATGGTCTTTAGGAATAATATTTTTTGAAATTCTTACAAGAAAAAATTTTTTTGAGGATTCAAACACTTATCTTGAAATATTGTTAAAAAGAATTGAAATTACTTAACTCTAAATTAACACTAAAATAAAAGAACACAATTTGAAAAATTGGTAGGTGAAAATTCTTGAGAAAATGATTGTTCAACGTTTAGACAAGAACAGAGAGATTAATACAAATATCAAAAGGATAGGAATAGATGCTCTTGTAGAAGAACTCGAAAAGTATTGCCCTTTTAAATGGTAAGAATAAGCTGAGGATGTATAAATTTCTATTTGGAATAATTCAAGTAAATGTTTCACAAGAGGTAAATTCCAAATCTAGTACACAAAAGATTCTGAAATTATCTACAGCTAAAATGGGATGGTCATAAGAAAGTAATATTAAAAACTTTTAGTATAGAGACTAAATTGTAAATATATTAGTGAAGCCTGAAGTGTTAAAGAATTTAGAATAAATTAAGTACTTGCAATGGATAGGAAATTATGACTAAAATAAAAAAAAAGTTGGCAGATGGGAGATTACTTGGAATGGTGAAAATTTAAATAATGTTGGAGGAGAGTATCTAGATGGTAGAAAGACAGGGTAGTGGAAAGATCTAACATAGAATTATTGGAGGTATGCTCTTTAATCTAGGAAAAATAGTTAAGCTTAGGTATATGAAATTGGCAAATACGAAAACAACATTAGAAAGGGAGTTTGGGAGTTTGTCTATAACAATTATAAGATGTATTTTATTTACTTATCAAATTTTAAGCGGAGGGGGGTAATTCAATAATGATGGTAATAAACAAGGAAAATGGATTGATCTATTTGAAAATTTTTTTTACAATGCTTAAGTCACTTATAATGGTGAATATAATATGAATAATATGAAGGTAGGCAGATGGGATATTATGTATGATAAAGTTAGAGATCGACAATATAAATAAATGTAAATATTATTTATAGTGGTGGTGGATAATATGATAAAGAAGGAAATTAAAAAAAGATTGGAAAGTGGGTGGAACTGTTTGAAGGGTTTCAATTGAATGCTTAAGTCACTTATAATGGTGAATATAATATAAATAGTATGAAGGTAGGTAGATGGGATATTATGTATTGTTAAATTGGAAAATAGGAATATCAATAAATGTAAATATTATTTGTTTAAAAGACTTAAACATATAGTGGTGGCGGATCATATGATTAAGAAGGAAATTAAAAAAAGATTGGAAAGTGGGTAGAATTGTTTGAAGGGTTTTAGTAATTAGCTAAAGTCACTTATGATGGTGAATACAATATGAATAATATGAAGGTAGGTAAATGGGATATTATGTTTGAAGGAGATTGGATGTAAATATTATAGAATTTATAAGAATATTTAAATATCTATATTTATAGTGGTGGTGGATAATATGATAAAGAAGGAAATTAGAACAAGATTGGGAATTGGGTAGAATTGTTTGAAGGTTTTCATTGGAAGGCTTAAGTCATTTATAATGGTGAATATAATATGAACAATATGAAGGTAGGTAGATGGGATATTATGTATTGTAAAAATGCAACAGCAGAATATAAATAAATGTAAATATTATAGAATTTATAAGAATATTTAAATATCTATAATTATAGTGGTGGTGGATAATATGATAAAGAAGGAAATTAAAAAAAGATTGGAAAGTGGGTAGAATTGTTTGAAGGGTTTTAGTATGATGCTTAAGTCACTTATAATGGTGAATATAATATGAACAATATGAAGGTAGGTAGATGGGATATTATGTATTGTAAATGGGATGAAAAAGAATTTAAATAAATGTAAATATTATTTATTTATAAGAATATTTAATATTCTTCTAGTGGTGGTGGAAAATATGATTAAGAAGGAAATTAGAAAAAGATTGGGAGTTGGGTAGAATTGGATGAAGAGTTTGGAAAGTGGGAAGAATAGATAAAAGGACCTTAGTATTGTAATTAAGTCACTCATAATGGTGAATATAATATGAAAGGTCAAAAAGTAGGTATTTGGGTAGAAATGGATATAAAGCATAATTACAAAAGAGGAGAAAAGAAATATGATATTTGAAAGAATAAAAAATAAAATATAAAAAAAGATACATTCAACATTATTTTTACAATTATTGTTGTGTAATTTAATAAGAAATTTGATTTTGAAGAAAATATAGCCTAATCAAATTTTTATTCAGTCTTAACGGCTGTGTGCTCAAGTTGCAGTCGAAATGGAGCTCAGAAATTTAAAATTTGGGTTTGCCCACAAGTAGGTTTAATTCAGCAGTCACATTATGTTGAATTGTCTACATAGGTTGGGTTTGGGTTTGGGTTTGGGTTTGGG